ACTGAACAAAAATACTAATTGTGGGACTACACATCACTGCTCCCTATACTTAAGGAAATAAAAGTGATGAAAAAACTCAGAAGAATGCCATCTTAACAGTCTGGTGATTTCATCAGTTGCAAATAATTCAGGTTTCTTACACAGGAGGGACAGGTACATCCTCTTCTATCACAGTTATCTTCTCAACAACACTCAGTACACTTTCCATTGAAGCACCCTGTGAAATTTTTATCTATAAAATGCTCACAAAGGGCAGCCCTGATAAATCAAACCATTTCTTTTTAGTGGATGCTGGAATTCTGTACTGTGAAAAAGAGGTACGCTTGCAAAATAGCATCTTTACATGCAACTTAGTCAGCAATCCAAAGGTTCCTTCCTCAGGCATGTAGGTTAGTAGCCATAGAAAAAGGGTCTGCAAATGGAAATTAAGCATAATGTGGGAACAAACATTCTGGGATGCCTTAGCTGTATTGGGATTCAGACCTTTTGAATCTAGGAGGAATTAACTTTCTCTTAAGAGTTAAACTACCTGAAAACCCAGTGCACAAGCAGCTACACTTTACTAACACACTGAAAGAAGTGACAATGCACACATGCAGTCTTTAGAGTTATCTTTTTAACTAATTGCCTACAAAGTAGACATCCTCTAACCTCAGCACTGGAAGGCAGTGAACTGGGAACAATAAAACTCTGATACTGACTTACTCTCAGAAGGGCTTCCCTTAATCATTGGTGCCACAATATGTATCTACTGCAAATGTCCAGTATTTCCCCTTACATGTCCCCATGCCCTCAAGGGGTGTATCATCTCAACAGATTTAGCTACCTTGGATAAAGTTTTCCATGCCAGAAACGTGCCTCCTTGCTGAGCTGTTTTAGGACATTTCAGCAAAAGCATTCCCCAGGCCTTTTAGAGAAAGATGTCCTTTTTTTACTTTGCTCTTGTTGAAAAATTTTGCTGACCTTTCCCCTGAGAAAACAAGCACCCCTAGGCTGACTAGCAGGGACATGAACCATACCCTCTTATCTCAATGAGCAGCAATAGCAGACTAAAGCATAATGGAGACTTTGTTTCTGAGAGTATGCTTTTCATTGCCTTTGTCCAAATCTCCACATATTTCACCATCTGGCGGGAAGGTGGGTGTGAAAGAGAGGGAAGGGGAAGAAACTCCTCATATTCACATATCCCCAGCAGGAGCTTTTAGAAATGGTCCTTTGCATGTTTCAGCTCAGACTTCACAAGGTCTTAATCCACAATTGTCATTCTCAGGTGCTGCCAGTCATATCTGGTTTAGATCTGCTCCTTTAAAGCAAGAGCAGGGAAAAGATTGCTCCTGTGTCTCGTGAACCTCTACAAACCTTATGCAACATGGAGAAGAGTTCTGTGTAGTTTCAGAGCAGAGGAGACACAAAGGAGTCCTACAGAAAGATGGGAAAGTGAAAACAGGAAAAAAGCCTGATGGAGACCAGAAGTTTGAGACTGGATGTTAGAAGAACTTAAGAGCAAAAAAATTAGGAATGGTGATGAAAATGTTGCCAGAAGAAAAGAAAGACTGGACAGAAAGCGGAGGTATAGAGGGAGAACTACAACAGACCAAGCAAAAAGACAAGTTATTTAAGTGTCTTCAGACTCACCAAGAGAACTGTGGAGAGAGATCGTGAGTCGGCAGACACCAGGAACATGGGAAACAGAAAAACTGAAGTGATAAATCACATGAGGAAATGAGACAATATGGACTGACAGGGGATGAGGATGGGATTTACTAAGGGAAGACTTAAGACAGATTGGTGGGGAGATCCTTGGCAGAACATTGTGCAGACAAGAATAATGGGACATTCAAAGGCTTGAATGAAGAGTCTTAAATACTAAAAAAGGGTCAAGGGACAAAAGATCTGGAGACAAGGGAGAGACTTGAACTAATCCAGTAAGAATGGTTTAAAAAATGCCATATTTACAGTGAAAGGGTGGAGAAACTCATTCACATTAAAGCAGTCTCCCAGATTTTAGATGGAGTTCAAGATTCCTGAACCTGAACCTCCACTTACATCACATATTTGTGAAATGCACTGACAACACATGCTTCACTCTCCTCTAGCAGCTGTATAGATGCCAATGACTTTTTACTAATACTGATATAATTTCTTATATCAAATAGCTGAGGTTCATGCAGTGGGGATCTAGATGTTCTAAATGGGCTGATATCACTGAGTGTATTTAATGTAACGGGACAGACACATGCACTACAACAGTGAATTTGCATTATTCCTTCATTTTGAAAAGGTAAAACACAAAAGTGGATGTCTTTTTCTACAGTTGCAGGTATTTGTACAGATCATGAATAAGGGCTTCTGACTCCTATGAACCACAAGAGCCAAACACATTTTTCTAAATAAAGTCAGGGACAGCATCTCACTCAGGAAAAAAAGAAGTAACTTTAGTTAGTTACTCTAATTGAAGTTTTTGGGTATTCTAACTAAATTACTGCTTGAGAAAGACAGGCTGGTTCCTGAAAAAGAGAAGGGTTGGAAGTTCTGTCCTAGCCAGTACACCTATCAGCATGACACAAGCAGGAAGCAGAGGTATCCATCACAAACTTCCTCAAAGTACACTTCAAGCTGCAGTAATTAAAAAATTCAATTATACTTAATCAATCACATGATAAAAGATACCAATGGAAAAGCTCACCCCATCTTTGTTATAATGCCTGCCTGCGCAAGAATCACAGCAGTGTGCCTCAAAACAATCATAATGCAACTGTTTTTTCAGGTCATGGACGAAATGGCTGTACTGGCTGGAAAAGCAGTTGTTTCTAAAGCATATCCTGGGGCAAAGGGAGCAAAATAGTGCCTGAATGGTCTCCTCCCACTCATCCTAATAAACAAACCAACACAAACCCCAAGAGCCACCCCCCAAAAAAAAATTAAAATTCCCCCCTTAAACCAACCAACACCCCAAAAAAGCTTGATTGTACATCACTAATAAATACACTTTGCTTTACACCAGATACTTAGAGGGTGGATTAATGGATGCAAGTTTTGACACCTTTTAAATTCTAGCTCTAGAACCTGTTTCCAAGTGCTGGAAAAAACAGTAAGAACATGGTCTTTTAAAGTATGTTTCCATTATCTACAAAGAAGGTAGCATCAGCAAATCCCCACTACCAGGGGACAAAAAGCGCTAAACTAGATCTGTACAGACAGTTCACAGCTGGAAGTAGAGGATTACTAAAGTAGCACCTTTTCATTTCTTCCTTTCTGTTCCTATCCCATCCTCAGTCTGACATCTCTTCAGCTTTCAGCTCTTTGCACCTGGGTTGCCCTGTTTCTCTTCCTCCCTTCCTTCCCCTGCCAAAAAAAACTCCACCCCAAGACAAAAAAAAAAAAATCTTACTATTTTTAATCTTTGTACATAAGCTGCTGTACCGCAGTCAGCTGCAAAACTCAGTAGAGAGCTCCATTTCAAACCATTTTCATACTCCCCTCAACTCTCCACTTCCTGGGTTTTCTCTCATTTCCTCATATTGTTTTCCCTCTAGCAATTTTCTCTCTCCACTTAGCCCGGGGTCATTTGCTTATGCTTTTCTCCACCAGCTTTGACCTCCATGTATCCCTTCAGTTCCCACACACTTCTTGAGCAGCCATTGTCCTTTGACCCTTTCCCAGCTCCCCTTTTCCCATTCTCATCCCATTTCCTAACCAGCTGCCAAAATTTTACCCGTGTTTATCTGGAAAATAAGACACATCAAGCTGCTTCCCTTCATCTTAGCTTGGCTCAGCACCAGTCAGCTCACTGCCAAACTAAATTGCCTCAAGTCATAGGGATCAGGACAATCAGGTCCTTTAAGGCTGTGATACTTCTGCAGATGTCTGCAGAGTCTTCCCATCCTTCTCACAACCACCACACTTGGTTAGGTAAATCACTGCAGCATTGCTAAAGTAAGTTATGGAGAACAGAATCCCGAGAAACATATAACATGGCCTCCTCTGTAATATCTTTCCAGCCACACCTCCCTCCCCTTAGACGAAGCATGAACATGCACAGCCTGAAGTAGCTGATTCCTCACCATTTGGGAAGGAGCTTCATTGAAGCCCTCAGATCGTCAACACCTACCTAAGAAAAGCCCCACTGGCAACCACTCCATCACTCAGAAAGGCTGTCTAGTGCCACATAAAGCTTCCAAGATCCATGATTTGTTAGTTGCTGTAGGAAATATGTTTGGGTGTTTTACAGGTAAATTCCTCCAGTTCTTTCAGAACTTCAAGAACATTTGCCACACTCTACATCTACTGTAGTCACGCCTAAACTACTTCTATGAAGCATTTTTTGGCCTTCCTACTTGTAAATGGAAAACCTGTTTCAAATTTTTAATGACACTTTTCAGTTTCTTAAATTGTATGGTTTACTGCATAGGAGGATGAGCTAAGATTTCCAAATCCATGGAGGTCATGCCTAGTGAACAGTGTCTGCACACAGAAGGGTTTTCCAGCAAATACACGTGCCATATTCAATACTATGGGCCAAGTACATGTTAACATACTGAAACTGTGAGCTGCGTGAAAAGGAGAAAAAGTCAGGAAAGAATTTGCAAGACCAGGATCTGGTGAGGGGGAAATAATCAGTGAGACCCTTCAAACAAAGCATTTAAAGGGGCAAACAACCTTCTGCTGTTTGCTTCATGCTATCCATTCTAGGAAACAGGGCATTGTACTTATTTTTGTACATATACATTACTGCAAAGAGTTTACCACTCTTCGTTCTCCACTGCTGCCAACTGTAGAATGTTGTGGGGTTTTTTTCTGTTACTTCTTCATGAACACATAGTAACAGCTTAGACTTATCTAATCAGATAAAAACTTGGAACACATGGAACAATGATGTTACACTAATGTAACAGCAAATGCCAATTCCATTGTCAGCACCATCTGTCTTGCTGTGAAATCAAACACTGTAAAAAACAGCATTATGGAACAGTTAACACCATCCTAACCAAGACTCCTACCTTCACAATGCTTTTTAGATCCTGCACATACATCCTCTCTGTCTCCAGAATCTCTTGGACGACTCTGTCTACATAGAGGAGCTTGGGACTGGTGGGCTCTGTGGCAATAGACATTGCACAGTTTTTGCTTGCTCCTTTTGGTTCTGCTTTCCTCGGCATGCTTAGCCTTTTTTCAAGGCTTTCCTCAGGATCCTCTTGCTCTGCAGGGGAGTTTTTGCGTGGCTTGCTGCTGGAAAATCGCCTGGCTGGGACCAGTTCTAGCTTGATAGCACCCGTTTCTTTATCCTGGTTGAACAAGCCCAAGTGGCTGTTTGAAACTAAGGTCATTCGGCTTCCAAAGGAGCAGTGGCTGTCCCTGGAGGAAGCAGAGGAGGAAGTGGAGCTAAAGCTGACAGGACGGTCGCTGTCTGACAGGTCCATGGTTTTTTTTTCACAGTAGCGGAAAGGTCTGCTCCCCTTGTGCAGCAAATCCTCCCCTTTCGTCTTGGAGTCAAGGGCCTCTGTCACAGCCGGTAAGACATCAAGGGGTAAGTGGAAGTCATCTATAAAATAAACAGAAGAAGTGGATTTACTATTGCTGCTCCACGTAACACAAAAGCTGACAACACATACTTGCAAACAAAACTGCCACGACTCTATTTTAACTAACAGACAACTAGAACAACATGATTTGGAGGTCACTAAGACCTTTTCTTAATGTTTTTCAGGTGGTGGGGATCCCCCACAGGTAAGGCTACCCCGCAGGCTCCACATGCCTCTTTGCTCACATACATGTGTCTGGCACATCCTTGTGCCAGTGTGTTGTGTCTAGTGACAGTGTTTCCAGTGCAAAGGCTCAGCACAGGAGAGAAATAAGACTCAGATTTTTCCTAGGGTTAAAAAAATGCTGTCAGGAGCAGTCCCTGCTGTCTCCAAGCACTGACCCTGGTTTGGGGGCTTTGCAACGCTCAAGAATCACACAGTGACACCAGACAGTATTGTTCATTTTGAATACTGTAAGGCCAACAGTCAAACAAAAACTAAGAGCAGTTATCAATTACCAGCTCTGTGGCTTGTACAAAAACATTAAAACCAGAATGATTTCCCAGTGAAAATAATGTAGCTTCTGAAAAAAAAGAGTTCCCGCAGGAAAGA